AAAAAAAAAAAAAAAAAGAAAAGAACTGGTGGGAAGGGGCAGATCAGATGGGTCTCTAATCATTCCATTGCAAACTTGAGTCAGTGGTCAGATTCCTCAGCAAAAAGAAGGAGCAGAAACACTCGGACTAGGATTGCTGGGGGCTGTCAGCTCGGGTCCACCTGAGCAGAAAGCAAAGTGGAGGCTAAGGGGCAAGGCTACACATGCCATTTGTACTTCCCATTAGGAAAAATTGTCAGTAATGGCCCAATTATACATTTAAACAAGAAGCACCAAAGCTGTGAAGTGCAGCATGGGGCAGAGAGGACAGCAGCAAGCAGGGGCTCTGAGGCTGGGTCACATTTCTCACCCTTCATGGTGCACCAAGAGGGGCCAGCTTGACTGTGTGCCAGTGCCCTACACAGCCAGACACTGGAGCACATCTGGTCCAGAGTGACCCTAAAGAAACCAGAGCTGTGCTAGGGAGAGCAGATCAGACACTGTCTCTGATCCAAGAGGTGACACAGATCTTTGCTGGCTTTCATGGGTCAAAATAGCTTAGCTTAGCATGAATTTTTTGCTACCTGTCTCCTGGCATTGTTTATTTTTTGCAACCCCTCTGTCACTGAGAATTAGAAGCAGTTCCAGGGAAGGTCTGGATCTCTTCCCTGTGCTGCTGCAGCGCTGAGCAGAGCGCACATGAGAAGCACTCTGTTGTGCTCAAGTGGTGATCTCTGGGCAATGCAAACTCACCACTGACACAGAGCAAGCTGTAAACAAGGGGACTGCAACCAGCCTGAAACACAGCAGGAGTGGAAGTAATTATTTGTCTCTCTTCTTTCTCATCACAAGCCTAAATCTGCCTTAGTACGGTCTCTGTACACATCAAGGTCCAATAGGAAATTGATCCCCTGCATGGCAATGTTTCCTCTTTCTGGAGGAACAGAAAATCCCCATGAAAATTACGTTGCATCTGCTGGACTTACCCATGCTGAACATTGTATAATAAAGTTAAGAGATTTCAATTTAATTAACTGTGACTTTATATACTGATATGATGTTTACTGTTTCCCTCCCTCTCCTCATCAAAAGAGTTTTTCTGTCATAGTAATCCCAAAGATTGAATAGATAAAATAAACCTTATTTCTCTTAATATCTCCATGGCACGGCACCAAAACTATTAAAACAAGCAGTCTGAAAAGAGAAAATAATTCTTGCTTTAAATCAATATTATTTATCTCTTCTGTGTTGGTAGGAGTTACCCAGTTTAAGAACCTTTCCTTACATACACTACCACAACTGATCATTTTACATTTCCAGTGACTAATCTACCATACTGGGACTTGTTGACTTCACTGACAATTTCTTTTACCCCATCAGTTCCTTTTTGTTTTATTCTGTCATGCACTTCCTTTGTGTCCTAAATATGTGCACACATCCATGCAAATCAGAGAGAGATTCAGTTTCCATTTTGCTCTATCTTGTACTGTGCTGCCACTTAGATGCTTCCCCCACCCCAATTCTCAGTACATTTGATCTTGCTGAGAGCATATATGTCTGCTGACGTCAGGCAGACATGACAGAGCATATACCTGTTTGTGTACCCCATCCCACTCATGCCCACCTTGCCACTTCTGGACATCCAGCACCGGTGGCATCACCTTACCAGGAACAACAACAGCCTCTGTGCCAGCAGACACTGGAGTGGGTGCCACTGCCCCTCCACACCCCTCACTCCCTTCCCTTCTCCAGCTGCTCCTATGCCTTCTGCTTCTTCAAATTACATTTGCCAATGTCCTCACTTTTACTCTCCCGTTTCATACACAGCAGAGTTGATCTGTCCAGCAAAGTTCTTCCTTAGCTCTGTAGGATTTATTAATTCCTCAGAAAGCTGTAATTGCTTTCACTCTATTCCTCAGTTCTTGCTTTATTAGAAACCAAATGATTATCCTTTCTTTTAAACATTTTCCATCACTGTTTAAAAACTATCATTAAAAAATTCCTATTGACTCTAAAAAAATATTGCTTTTGAAGTGCCTTTTCATACCATGAAATGCAGAAAACAAACTGAGATCCATTAATCTACATGAGCAATCTTATCTAAGCTTACATGAAAAGGAAGATAAAGTTATACATTTCTACAATGCTTTAAGATGCATGACTGAGACATTTTTTGCCATTAGAGGTAGCTGTCTATAAAATGTTTTGGGTACATATCTATATATAGTTTATGTTATAACTACACAGTTTATACATACATAGCAAAAAAAACCTTGCACTTACCTTTGAGAAGTAACATTTATCCCAGGTTCGGTAAAATAGTCTCACACAGGTACTTAGACCTTCTTTCTATTCCATGCATCCTTTTTTTGAAAAGAAGATAGAATCAGAAAAATCCCAGTTGATCTCTAGCAACCCAAAATGTAGACAAGATTGTTTGTCAGATGCAGCCTGATTCAGTGAAGTCCGAGCGTGTCAATCCCTGAGACTCCTTGTCCAGTTATATCCAAAGCACGAAAATAAAAAAGAAAGGAAAAAAACAGGAGAAGAAAGAGAATAAAAAAGAGTGAATAACTTGTTATTTTCCTGTGTGATTTAAAAAAAACCCCAGTCTTGGAGGACTAAGCAGCCTGCAGGATTTTTGAGCGTTCTGATCCTAGTGCATCCCAAGGTAAGACATGCATTTCAGCACTGCAAGTCTTCAAGTTGATACAGGCAAGCCCAGCTGCTGTGTGTGTGTGTGTGCTGTGTGCTGGGCTGGGGGGCTGAGCTGTACCGGGGGGGAAGAGAGACAGGGAGACACAGGCACACACAGCCATGCAGAGAGGGAAGAAGGAAAAGCAGCAAAGTGGAGTGATCTCACAAAGTGCTCTAGATGGCAGAGCCTGCACGGCTTGTAAGGCAAGCAATGTGCACACACAGGGATAAAAAAAAAAAAAAAAAAAAAAAAAAAAAAAAAAAAAAAAAAAAAAAAAAAAAAAAAAAAAAAAAAAAAAAAAAAAAAATAAGGAAAAAAAAAAAAAAGATAGAGAGTGAAAAACCCGAGAGAACTAGCAGGCAGCTTCAGGAATTTCTTCTTACCTCTTCTGACGATGCAACATGCTTTGTACTGCATAGGAATCCGTGCAGGCACGACTCAGTCAGACCCCTCACCTCTGAAATATCATAGGAAAGGGAAGAAAACCAGAAACCAGATGAAACAAGGGTACAAAAAGAAGCTAATAAACAAGTAAGAGTGTCAGGGAGGAGCCCTAAGTGGGCAGGAGGCAAATAGCTGGTGTAGAAAGAGGCATCCAAACTCTCGGTCCTAACAGAGATTGGCTCTGTAATTATGTGGCAAAGCACTGCCCTCTAAGCTATTGCATAATAATAGAAACCTAAGCTGTGTAGACACAGCCTGACATGCTAAATCCTCAGGAGCTACACTCAACATTTGTCAGTAGAAAGCCTGTCAGTCCTCTGGGGGCGGAGGAAGAGGAGGGAAGACAGAAGAGAAGAGAAATTTTACTGCAAAATGCATAAGCTGCAGTTGCAAAGAGCTTTCAGGTGGTGCCAATGCTTGAAATGTTATAGTGGAAGTCATATATATCTATCAATGTAGGAAAAGATAGATAAAAACCATATGTGGAGTTTAGGGATGTAGTTTAGTGGTGAATTTGGCAGTGCTGTGTTAACAGTTAGGTTTGATGATCTCAAAAATCTTTTCTGACCTAAACCATTCTGTGATTCTAAAAGCACTGTCAGCTTCATTCATTCTATTTAATACAAGAAACAATTTTCCCTTAATATGTTTTAGAAATTTAAATGACAAGGAGAAGAACATGTTCAGGGGTTGCCCGTGTTAAATAGTATTATTTCTAATGCTGATGGCAGGAAAATAGTAGTAGTTTTCCCTTTCTACTGGGAATCAAACTTGAACTTAGGTAAAAGAACTCGTGAAGATTTATGAGCCTTTCCCATTTACCAGTGGGTTCCTCTCTCTGGCTCTCCTGACACAGAGACACTCATTTTCTTCTGCCTCTTTTGGTTGAAGAGGCTCCTAGACAGAGCAAGGGAAAATATGAGCACTGACTATACAAGAGGAAGAAAGAATCCATCTTGTTCAACTTACTACACACCAGTATCAATACATCAACAGAACGAACAACTAATAAGGCACATGGAAGGAATAGAAAAAAACAAACACCAAAAAACTCACAAACCAAGAAAGTGCCATCATTTTGCAGTCAAAATTTACCTGAAAACTGTGGCCCTGGGTCACACCTATGGTCCATTTAATCCCATGTCCTCTCTTTGGACAGTGATCAGCACTACACACCTCTGAGGAATCTGAATGAGTTTGTGCAGCCTGTGCTAGACAGCCAGGGTTGACCTGTTCTTGGGCAAAGCTCCTTAATCCCTGCTCTTTAAAGATTAGTTAATGCACTAAGGCATGAGCAGTGAAGCAGTCTGCTTCTGCACATCCAGACTAAACATGTAAGGGTTGATTCTGATGTCCTTTGTATTTGGTGTAAAGTACACTTCTTTTAAGGCACTCAAGATCTAAAGAGTAAAATCTTCTGATGCTTTGTAAACATCCCAGTGTGACAAAAGGCCAAGAGTTCAGAAAGAGCTGTAGTATTTCAGTCTGAAGGGTAAGAAGATATTTTTATGGCCTCATCTAGCCTAGTTACTCCCCTCATTTACTTCTTACTCCTGGTGGAAACATCAGATGTACTTCAAGAGGCTATCCAGTGCAGGTAGAAGAACCAGCTCACACAAATAATATGCAGGCATCAAATTTGGCCCCTAAAAAGTCAGACCAGACTGAACTGAAAAGTTTGAAGATATTTTTGTGAACAACTGCATAGAGTAAGACATGGGGTTTTCTTGGAGAGGCAGATTCTGCTGCAAACTTTAGATCCCTTACTGCTACCACTCTCCTTTGACCCGTGCCTCTCTCTCTGTATCCCCAAGGTGCAAGCTGCAGGCTTAGCACACATAGGATCAGACTGTGGTTAAACAGAGGAGGAAAGACTGCACAGGCAGCAGTTGCCTATTTTTCAGCCTATTCAGCTCTCCTTGGCTCTATGTGGAACAGTGCTGAAGGGCTCTTCTTGGGAGGAAGGCCAAGAGCTACCACCATCAGTAATCCTACTGGGCACTGAAGCAAGTGGCCTGGCCAAAGGAAGACTTGGGAAGCTGAAAGCTGCCAAACTGGGTGTTAAAATATTAAGAAATTACTTCATTTTTAGTTGACTGAAATATGAACTTAGAAAGCTAACTTTAAACATAACTCCTGGGAACCCTGTGCCAGCATATTGGCTAGAAAATCAAATGAAAGCTCTAATCATGTCAGAGCCTTATAAAATAAATGTCAGTGCATCCCAGACAGAGAAGACATCTCTTAATGACATCAAGAATTAATAATAGAGTCTGAGCCTAGTGTTTCAGAGTCTGATTTGAAAGGAAAATATTGCTTGCAGTGACAGAAATCAGTGTACTTTGACAATGCACTCCAAAAATCTTTCACCAACAACAGTTTTGACGGTGAAAACCCCCAATGAAAAATAAAAGATGATACAACCTTCAAAAAAAAAAAAAAAAAATCACCCAAAACTGATGTTTACATGAGGCTGTGGTGTTGTGGGTCCCCAGAGTATGAAGCCAGAGTGCTTTCTGTGATGCTCTTTAGAATTTAATCAGAATTCCCTGGCATTTGCCCCTGAACTTCTCCTCCATCCCTGGTATTTATACACATAAATATTTATATGCTTTGCTCTCAAGTAAGGAGCTTCTCAGTGAATCAACAGTTTTCTTTCTTGGGCTTCCTAGCAGGTTACCACTTCCACTTTTCTTTTTTTCTCAGGCCTCCCCCATCTCCAATCCTGCCCTAGCTCCAAGTCAGCCAACAAGGGTGTTTGAGCTACATCTGCTGTTATTTCCACCTCCACAGAAATCCCATCAGACCCAAAGAGCCACAAGAGAAGTCTTGTTCTGCCTGGGTTGTGATCATCTCGCAATGCTCACAATGCTCACTCCTGGAAAGAACTGTCAAGATTCAATTTTCCATTCTTGACTTAGATCTAGAAAATACATGAGAGGCCAGGATTACAGATGTCTAACTTTTGCTCCGTGAATCTTGCTGAGCAGCTGAAGCTTTCACTGATGCAGGAAATCCTGTGTCCCAACAGAATGCATAATTTCCCTATTAAAAGAGACTCACAGAACTCATTAAATCTTTAAAATCAAATTCATACAAGTTTCCTTGAACAGTGTCAATCACTGAAAAGACCTAGCTTGACACAGAAAATTTTGTAATGGAAACCCTCTTCTTTGATGTACAGTGCCAGATAAACCATCAAAACCTGAGAAAACTGAACTAGAATAGCAGAGCAAGACAAAAATAAAATTGAGATGTTTTTGAGACTTCCAGGAGTGGTGCTTCACCTGCTGCAAACACCACTCTCCTTTCCAAGTCTAGAAGAAAAAACACTGAAGCCTTTGACCATCTGATTGATAATTCAATTTAGTATGTTCCTGTAGACATTGGGGATTCCCATTTCCTGCCCACTCCCTTCCAAACCAAAGTTATCAGCAGTGGTCCACATGACCATTTAATCAATGGCTGCCAATCAATTACACTGATTGAAAGACAATCTAAAAAAACCTTTAGTCTGTGGCCCTACTGACAGAAACAAACATCAGGAGCTGAGCCCACCAGCTTTCAAACATTGGAGGTTTGGGAAAAGATTGTGTATTTCTTGAGTGTTGTACAGCTCAGCTCTTTACAAATCATTGAATATCAGTTTACACATGTGTATGCCAGTACAAAATCTCCTTCTCACATCCTCCACCCACACATCCCTCTGCTTTTAAAAGCAGCTCCAGCCAACAGACAAAATGAATGTGCTTTCTTTCAGTTTCTTGCACCTTAGCATGGGGGCCACTTAATCCAAATTTCTAGACCCAGACATCCAATGGAGAACAGGTGCTGTTTTACAGTGTAGTGAAAGAAAAAGGTTTTTGAGGGCATGGATGAGACAAAAGCATCACAGAAGGTCCCTTTTGCAATATACTGTTATATAAAGCATAGACTAATATCACCACAAAATATGAGGATGAACTTCATTAAAATACTTCAACAACTCTACAGCAATTTTTCATTGTCCATTGTGAAGCTAAATGCAGAAGGATTTACAAATACCAAGAAAAAGTTATTTCAGGTCATAGAATAAATTATATATTCATAATCTACTCCACTCTAAGCATTCATCTCATCTGGAATAACCAGGATACTTGCGCTAACCTTAAAAGGACCCACTGTAACTTTGTAGATGCTCTGAAAGAAGGTCAGCATAATATTTTTATCCAGGGTTATTATTCTTTCCAGGTTCTCCCTTTACAAGCAGGAAAATCCTTGTACTTCTGTTTTGCATAATCACATGTCCAGCTCAGTGAGTAAAATTTAATGCCCTTTGATTGATAGGTTAAGACCAGAAAGGATCATTATGACCATCTCATTTGACCTTCTGCACAACCTCAGTTACAGAAATCCTCTCTGTGGCTCCTGCATCTATCATCATATTATTGGGTGTTGCTAAAATATATATTTTATAAAGGCAGTCAGTGATTAAATCTTGATTTAATGATGGTGTATTCACTCCTTACTCTCTTTATATCTTTAACTGCTGCTATTAAAAAAAAAAAAAAAAATGACCATACCTCATTTTGTTACTCAGAAGACTTTGGTATGTTATCAAAACTTCAAAGTGATAATTACGAATTACACCTGGGCATCTCCTGTTTAGAAAACTCAGAATTAGGAACAGCAGAATTTTCTCCCAGCCAAGAGGACTGGTTCTACTGGGGACAAATGAGTGCTCTTTGAGAGCCGTGTAATCTATTCACACAACAAATTAACAAACAAGCAAATAAATAAACTT